TTTAAGTGGTACTAGTCAGAATTTCAAAAGTGTATCTTACAGAATGCCAGCTATTCTGTGAGAAATTAAAGAGTTGCTGGGTTAAACATTCTCTTTATTCACGACCTTTAATAAGGAAATGTGCAGCATACTTATATATTGGAAGACAACAGTATTTGTAGTTATTTTTCCAAAGACAGTTGACCACAAGTCCTTTACAATCGTACACTTTGGAAAACAGTACCTTACAGAAACACAAGTGAGTTTTAACCCTTCTTTTTGCATGTACATTAATTAAAGCAACATCTATCTATACTGTGTATGATAAATTTTAATTATTTTGCACATTTTAATTATATAAATTTCAAAGAGATACTGAAATATTAAGTCTCATTGTATGTGTAAAGCTTGAAATGTGAATTCAAAACAATTAAAAATATGGACAAGAATCATAATGGCTAATCTAACAATATATAAGTTGCTATATGGAACACCTGATTCAGAGTAATTGAGCAAAGATCAGCATTAAATTTTTACATGATTTGAATCATCCAAATTTTTCAAGAACCTATACCAACCATAAAATGCAATCACTACCATAAGAAATAGGTTGTTCATCATCTTATGTCTTCCTGACATTTTACTGTAAAAATTTTACCATAAAAAATAAGTCTCCATTCTAATGTTGAGAATGGAAGACAGAAATTCTGACAAAACGTCACTGACTTACCCCAGTGCCCAGACTGTGGTTTGAAAATATCATCTCCCAGTGAAAGAAGCCAGGGCCTCTTAAAGAAATGGCTGATTTCAGGTCTGGACCCAAAAAAATCTCATTATATGGTCTTAAAGAAAATTAAGATTAAAAAATTCAGGAACCAACTTGAAAAGATCCTTCCAGTCAATTTGGGCACTGAGAATGATACTAACTACACAGAGATAAAATATAAAAATGCCTCAGTCTATGAATTTGTAACAATACAGAAAGGAGGGAAGAGAAAATGGAGACTTGTGACCAACTCTTTTCTTGAAAGTCTTGTAAGTAGAAAAAAAAAAGATATACATAGATACATAGTAAGCCTGTCTTTATCAACTTTCCCATTGAATGAATAACTAAATATGAGATGAACATCAGTTTCTCTCTACACATGTATTCTAACAAATATAATGAAAGAATAATAGAACATGACCATTATGCAATTTTATTGACATTTTGGACTAAATAATTCTTTGCTTTGAGGACTGTCCCATGTATTCTAGGAAGCTAAACATACCTGATCTCTATATAATCACCTCTCCACTCTAAACTGTGATGACCTTTAAAAATGGTTCCACAGGACCTCTCTGATAGCACAAGTTAAAACTGCAGCACTGTGAAACTGCTTCAGCACATGTTCGATCCCTGACTGGGAAGCTAAAACCACAGAGAGCAGCAGAATTCTCCTGTCTCACTCACTGCTCCTCTAAGTAGTATACTTCATGGATCTGCCTACTCTGCTCCCTACTATGTCTCTGGTGAAACCTCTCACTGCCCCAGCATCTCTAGCCTCTATCCCGGCTCTGTATGCATAAATAAGTCTTTAAAAAATAATAGTAGGGCCCCTCCCTGGTGGCACAGCGGGTTAAACACTGAGAATCTAAAGCCACTTCAGCATGAGTTCGATCCCTGCCTGCCCTGGAGGTGATCCACATGGCATGGAAGACCTCTCCTGACCCGCCCGCTGCTCCCCTCAGCAGTGTACTTCACTGACCTGCCTGTTCTGCTCCCCACTCTGTCTATGGTGAATCCTCTCTCCACCCCTGAGCCTCTGGCCTGTGCCCCAGTTCTGTATGCACAAATAAATAAATCTTCAAAAATAAATAAACAAACAATAGTAAAAGTGGCTCTACACTGACAAATGTCCTCTGGGGAGTAAATCACTGCTAGATAACCACTCGTCTAGAGGTTGCACAGTAACAGCCATTAACATCACTAAAATAAAAAGCCTCAGACAGTATGTACCTCCTAGAGACTATCACCTCTACCTCTTCCCCATGAACAAAAATAAATGTAAACTGAATCATGCCTCTAGATCCAGTAACGGAATCCCAAAGACAGTGAAAACTAAAATGACACCACCAGGGACAACCAACAAAATCCACTCTGTGGTGAAAAGGCTATATAGAACAAACCTAATTTCCTTAATAAATAATTTGTTATGAAAATAACAAGAGTGAGAGATTTTAGAAATAGCTCAACTAATTAGCAGTTTGGGGACCTTATTTTGATCTCTACCCAAATTGTAAAAACAGTATTGTTAATAGCATTTATGAAATACATTGAATGCTAGAGACGTGTTACTAAAATTCCAGATTGGGGGTATTAATGATACATACCCTATGCATTTAAAGGCTTAATTATAGCAAAGACATTAAACTTATCCCCTTAAGTCTTTAGATCTTTGAACCAAGTTTTATAATAAAAGTTACAACTAAAACATTATTATGTCTGATATTTGCCTAAAAAGAGTGTATGAGACAGGAAATGTGGGGTTTAGATGAAATAAGATTTATTATAAAGTGATGAAATAAGATTTATTATAAAATAGTAACTGTTAGCTTATCAAGGGGTTCATAGCACTGTCTCCTTTTCTCTAAGTGTTTGGAGGTTTTCAAAATAAAATGTTTTAAAATAATCACTATCTTTAATAAATATCCTCTAAAACTTTAATTATAATTGAACCACAAGTCCAAACAGTATAATTTGTGGACATATATTCTGCAGCAAATGATCCAGTTCACATTCCAATATTCTCTGGAGTGCTTGGAAAGAATCAGACTTGTGTTACTAATAATATCTTCTCTGAAAGGGTTCCAGAGTCAAACTACTTCTACATGATGTAGGAAGAACTCTGGGAGCTCCATTCTGCACCTGTTCAAGTCCTTTAGCAGACTCAAAGCCACTTCTTAGCTTACTAGTGGCTATACCTAATGTGGATATGCCTGCTACTCTCCTCTATGAGGTGGTAAAATGACTAGGCTCAACTGTCATAGCACTATCATTTCCATTAACGACTGGTTTGGTTTCCAAAGCAGAGAGAGCTATTCTTAATCAGCAATGTCCAATACTGTTGTCTCACTCCAGATATAATCAGATATAATCAGATATCTGATATAATCTCAAATTATCTACCATTCAAAGCATAATAGAAGTCCCAAAGAAAGTCAGTTCTTTATGTGTTAAATAACTATAAAAATGACCAAAAAACTCCAAGTGAGGAAATATTCCAATGTGTTCCTGAAAATTTAAGTCTGCCCTATTCCATTAAATTCCACTTCTGGGAAAATAGCCAAAGGAAATAAAAAATATTATCTGTGTTGTCACAAATGGTAGGAGTTTCTTTTTTATGAATAATGTTCATATCACCATTATCTGCAAGAGTCAGGGCATGGCAACAATCTAAGTACCTGTAAACAGATAAATGGATAAAGAAACTGTAGTATATACACACAATGGAATCATTAAAAAAGAAAATCCTGCCATTTGTGATAATATGGATGGACCTTAAGAGCATTAAGCTAGATACAGTCAGAGAAAAAGAAAAATATTGTACTATCTTACTTATAAGCACACTTTAAGAAGAAAACAAAAAAACAATTTACAGAAAAAAGATCAGATTTGTGATTGGGAGAGACAGGGAAGGGGGCTGAAGATGATCAAAAGGCACAAACATCCTGTTATAAAATAAGTAAGTATTAGGTACAGAATGTAAAACATGACTATAGTTAACACTGCTGTATGGCATACCTGAAAGTTGTTAAGAATGTAGGTACTAATGACTTCTCATTACAAGGGGAATTTTTTTTTCTTTTTTGTGATCTACATGACATGATGGGTGTTAAAACTTATTGTTGGTAATCACTTCACATGTAAATCAAACCATTATGCAGTACACCTTAAAGTAACACAGCATTAAACCTCAGTTGTATCTTAATGAAACCGAAAGTAAGTCAACCTAGACAATGTGCTGTAATGTTTTCTTCATTTCAATAGTAAAAGCAACGCAAGTTATTAGCCTCCTAGCAGTTGAGGGACAAATAGGAAGCATAAATATACCAAGGAACCTTCACTATCCAGTAAGAATATATGCATCCACATTTTTTGGTTTTAGCCAAATATTTCAAAATCCCTTTAAAAATAAACTAAATTATTTGAACACTTAATTCCCATTTAAGAATTTTTTTCATCAGCTTATCCTGAAAGAATTAACAGTAATTAAGTACATGCACCGAATCTAAAAGCTTACTTTCACAAGAGCACTGGCCTCCAGATCAAGGTAACAGTCATGTCAAACTGTGCCAAATAATTTTAGTTATCCGTATTATTTTACATATTAAAGTACCCCCCCCACAATCCTTACTTACAAGCCATAAAAAAGAATTCAAATTTTCATTTCAGAAGAATAGGCAAATTAACCAAACCTATTCTATACATTCATATACATTACCTTTTAAACTATACAAATATATTCTTCAGTCTCCCAAACTGTGTTTGTCTTAGAACCAACATAAAATTACTAAGAATAAACTCAGATGGATTTTAGCCAAAATCAATATTGAGTGAAATACTTGGTAATAAATATTTTAGGAATAAATTGCTTATCATGTAAATTCAATCTTTTATAACTCCAGACCACTAACATATGTTGCTGAAACGCAGTTTGCCTGCTGTTTGACTTTATGTATACACACCTCATTCTTTAAAAAAGATCGTGAGTGTTTACATGACAGAAATTTCGTAAAATTAAATGATTCTTCAATGTCATTCTGCTTGTATCTAAAATTATTTTTATTCTTCAACCAGCAAATGTTATCAAATGAAGAGCATACATATCAAGTTTTTTTAAACTTCAATAAGCACAGAATCTTGTAAAAAAAAAGAATAGTATATCACATACCCACAAAGGACAAAAACAGAAGCAAAATAAACCTCAAAGAATCTGAAAGCTTAACAACTTCCAAATTTTTTTATATTTTCTACTTACCAATTTATCGTTTTCATTAGGCATTTCAAACACACATCTCAATTTAGAATCCATTAATTCATCAGGTTTTGCCTCTTTCCACTACAAGCAAACAAAACCAAACATGAGACAAAGGAGGTATGACCATGACCAAAATAACGGACAACCTAAACGACTAGCAAAATTAGGAGGAGTGGTGAAAGCTATGACAGCCCAGGCACACGGCTGTTCTCACTCTTCTCTATACCAGAATTATATGGAAAAGCCATGGAACATTTTATAATCCTAGGAAGAGATACTATCACTAGCCACTAAACATGTCTGAAGATTACAGGGCTTTCTTCTTAGTAGTAGTATTTCTAAATTGTTTCTAAGAAAAAGTCAAAATTATCTGTAATGAACAGATTTATTTTTATTTTAAAAATTAGGTTTCTCAATGAGACCTAATTATGGGTCTCATAATTTAAACCATAATTTAAACAACATTCCCAAAAATAAATTCTGGCAGCTTCTATACTTACCACAGCTTCCATATCAGAAGTGTTTGGTGGAGCAAAAATTGTCTGTACCATAAACTTGTGTTTACTCTTTTCATTGGGATCATAGTCAAAAGGCTGTAACATTACTAAACAAGAAGAAAGGACAACAGATTACACTGTCTTCTGTATTTGTTGCTTATGATTTCTATTATCTCATTCACTGTTATGCAAAATTAAAGAAAAATCATAAATGGTTTAAGAAATCATACCATGAATTATTTACATTAAGAACCCACTATAAACTTTATGGTTTCCAGTATCTTTATTTAAGTTGTCTGCCTTTCTGATTTGCTAAGGAAGTACACAAATGCTTACTCAAAAGCAAATAATACTTCCCTCTAAATACTGGGGAAATTTTCAAAATATTGTTAACATTAATTATTATAGTGCCTATAAGTTTGATTTTAAATCTACTAAATTGTTTATTAAAACTAGTTATAAGTTTAAGCTTCATTTTACTGCTTAGTCATACCTTAGACAATTAGAATATTAAAGGAAAAATTCTAAGTAACTTAAAAAGCCAATACCTATATATAACTAGTATGATTTTTTTCAAGATTGTAAATAAACACCTAGTCAAGAAGATTTTATCAATTTATTTAAAATCTGATTCCAGGGCTCTCCTTGGTGGTTCAACGGGTTAAAGCACAGCATTATAAGGCTATCCATAACCACTGCGGCACAAGTTCTATTCCCAGCCAGGGAGCTGACCCACATGGTAGAGCAAACCTCTCCTGACCCACCCAAAGTACACCCCTTAGCAGTGTACTTTGGTGGATCTGCCTGTTCTGTTCCCCACTGTCTCTGGTGAATCCTCTCACTCTTCCCCCATAACTCTGACCTACACCCGAGTTCTTGTATGCATAAAAAATTTGATTTCCATATGCCATAAAGAAACCAAATAGCCTCAAGATTTCTCTAATTTTTCTAGCATTCTAATAGTTACACAAGTATTTTCCTAGAAAGTTATGATCTTCAGTTGCCTATAAGAGATTATCACAGGTTCCACATGACTGTAAATCAAGCTAAACTGTATAAAACTAACGAGACTATATAGAATGAATTAGCAATTAATCACACAAAATGTGTGCGTATATTGCAGAAATTACTCCCCAAATACTTAGATTTATAAGACTGATATAGATACATAATACATATGTACGTCAAAAACAAAAATGTAATTAACCAAACATGAACAACATTAAAAAAAATCTTATTTCTATGTGTGTAGTGCATTAACTCCCATCATGTTAAAAAAAAAATTTTTTAAAGCAAATACACACAATAAAACGCAAAAGCTAAATGCCTCAGAATCCAGATAAAGCACAATAAATTTCCATTTACTATTCACAGAGCAATCATGGTAGGCTAATCACTAGGAAGTAGATAGAAATAAAATTTAGAAGTTACGATTTTCTGAGAGTTATATGCTAAGGTAGCAGATCATATAACAAGAGGAAGACAATATTAAAGTGTGTGTGTGTGTGTGTGTGTGTGTGTGTGTAAATTTAAAGATTAAATCCACAAAACTAGGTACCACAGGGGGAAAAAAATGAGTATGCAGTAAAGTGACTTTTTATATGGAAAGGTGCTATATACTACAAACTAGAAGAGCTTAAGTTTTAACTAGAGGAAAGAAATCTAAGACCAAGCTGTGAAAAAGGTAACCAGTGTTCAGTTTTTAGTAAGTCAACTCAATACAAGGGATTATGTGGGAAAAATGCTTTGAAAAGTATATATTTTCCTAAGAAACATCAATGCAACCTAGAGCCCTCAAAATGGATTTCGTTATATGGCTTCCTAAGACTATAACTGTACCAAAAACTTAGCTAAGCAGACAGAAACAACTGTATCTTCTTCCACTTTAACTAAAGAGACAGATTTAAAGAACTTGAAGAATACATGTACAATTCATGCCTTCATCTTATTTCAATATTCAAAATACATGGATACAGTGCTTTTACGTTCTTATTACCCATTCATCTTTCCAATAAACAGAAGATTTGTACACAACAAAAAGGATTCCTCTGAGGACATCTTACCACTAAGACTTACTAAAAACATCCTGTATGGGGTTTCCTAGCACTGAGTTTTGGGATGTCGACTAAAAAAAAAATTGAGTGTCACCAAGAACTCTGACTATAGTCTCTCCTTTACTGCCTTTGCTGTCAGGTTCTAACTCTAAATATTCCCCATGGATCTGCTCTAAACTCTCTCTTATTATGTAATTTGCTATTATATGCTATAAGCTTGAAAATCAGAAATATGACAACAGAAATAGCATAATATACTAGGAATACTTATTAGAATCACCCAGGCATGTCTTGATTTTTTTTAAATGTACACAAGTCTAGGCCACAGCCCCAGAGATTCTGATCTGGGAAAGGTCCATGTATGTTCCTGCCCCCTATTTTATTAAAACACAGTGGAGGTGAGAATTACTCCTAGAAAGAGGAAATGGTTTCTGTGTGAAACTTAAAGAGATTCCTGTAAGTTAAACATTTTTATAAATGTTTATTTCTCAGCAATGTTAGATAGTATCATTAAAAGAATATTATCTTGGGCCCTCCCTGGTGGCTCAGCAGGTTAAAGCACAGCACAAAGAAGCTTAAGCCACTTCCGCATGAGTTCGATCCCTGCTTGCCCTGGAGGAGATCCACATGGCGAGGCAGACCTCTCCTGACCCGCCCACTGCTCCCCTCAGCAGTGTACTTCCTCTATCTGCCTGTTCTGTACCCCTCTCTGACTCTGGTGAATCCTCTCACCCTCCGCATCTCTGGCCTGTACCCCAGTTCTGTGCGAATAAATGAATAAATCTTTAAAAAAAAAAAAAGAATATTATCTTGAGACATCTGAAGAAAGCAAGGGACCATTACAAAGGATATTAATTATGGCACCAGCACAGACTCCATGCAGGAGTGAATAATCCAACTGTGGAAGAAACCAAGATACCCCTTGAACAACAAGATAGAATAAAAAGGAATCATAATAATTAAGTTATCAAATATAGGACCGTTGGTATTTACAATGAAAGGCAGAAAGACATCTAATTTGATAGAATGGGGGGAGGGGTGGGAGAGGCCCTGTACATTTTAAGCAAAAGATTTAGAATAAAATTCCAACTACACAATATGTAACAAGAGCGCTCAATGAGAATGATCAATCAAAAATGATGTAATATTTCAAAGAAAAAAATAATATGGGCCATGAATGTGTCAGGAAATTGTAGAAATGAAGAATACAAAATTTTTAACTGACAACTGCTTATAAACTGACCACATACACTCCCATCACAAGAGAGAGAAATTCTCTTCAAGTATTTGTATATAGTAAGATAACAGAAGGATACCATTAAAGGTAAAGCGAGAATAACAAAAATGACTTCTTTCCCTCCAGATGAAACTCAATTAAAACCGAATTAGGCAATCATAAAATAGCAAAACTCAAAACTGTGTAAATAAGATTTGTTACCTGAAACAGTCACAGTCAACCCTGGGTCAATGATTCCACTGTTGGGCCTCACACAATACCGACGAGGTGCTGTAGTCTTCACTTTAAAACATACTTTTCTATCTGATGGATTTCGCAACTTAAGATTTGTAGTTACTACATCTGTAAAGGGGCCTGTATGGTTTAGAAAACAAAATCAGGAAAAAAATTTTAATTAGATTCATGCACACACACAATGCAGAATTAAAACTGAATGTATATAGTCTCAGTTTTCTTTAAAAGTATACATAAATATGCCTGACAAATAACAATTCTTTCTTCATGCAGTTTATAAGTTTGATTTTTTCCCCTTCACTCCTTACAAAATTTTTTCATAAACATGTATTATTTCTTATGAAGAAAAAGTATTATGAAGTTTCATTTTATGAAATTAATCCACAACTACATTCCTATAATATGCTTTTTTCATATCACTGAAAAGATCAGAATTTTCCAATGATCTGCAAATTATCAATCTTCAAATTATTTTTTACTAATAAAGCAACTGCAAAAATCTCTACATCTGAAGACAATAAACCCAATGACAGCAGTGTTTCTGCTTCACCTCAATAAGGTCTAATTCATTCACTCACCTATTTAACTATTTATTATGAGCACTGTATCAAATGTTCTAGCTACAAAGTATTTAAGATACCCAAAAGTACCCAAAGTATTTAAGCTTTGGTTCTATACCCAAATATAATATTGCAAAACAAAGAACATAGAAAAGATCCAGTCCTAACTAACTGAATTTAATTAAGTCCCAAAGTGGGGAAGGAGATTTATAATCATTTTTGCTTCTGAATGAAGAAAAACCTAGTAACAGATTAAAATGGACCCCCCCCCCAAAAAAAAAAAAAACCATTCATGGGCCTTCCCTGATGGCGCAGCGGGTTAAAGCACAGCACTGAGAGGCTTAGGCCACTTCCACATGAGTTCGATTCCCGCCTGCCCCGGAGGAGATCCACATGGCGAGGCAGACCTCTCCTGACCCACCCGCTGCTCCCCTCAGCAGTGTACTTCGTCCATCTGCCTGTTCTGCTCCCCACTCTGTCTCTGGTGAATCTTCTCACCCTCCACATCTCTGGCCTGTACCCCAGTTCTATATGAATAAATAAATAAATCTTTAAAAAAACCATTCATTTGCAGACAAAAAAATAAACCTATAAATATGGCCACATAAAAACCACACACACACACACATACTTCTTAACTAACCCAAGAAATTTTGTGATGTTTATTTATTTATACTTACAAGAACCTGAGGTACAAGTCAGAAGTGCAGGGGGTGAGAGGATTCACCAGAGACAAAGTAGGGAACAGAACAGACAGACTGACTGAAATACACTGCTGAGGGGAGCAGCAGGCAGGACAGGAAAGGTCTGCTGCACCACGTGGGTCACCTCCATGGCTGGGGATTAAATTTGTGCTGCAGTAATTTTACAGTGCTGCACTTTAATCCAATGCACCACCAGGGAGGGCCCCCAAAAGTAATTTTAAATGACTTTTAAGACCATCAGTGTTGAGTTATGTATTTTTTGGTAAGCTACTTGAGTCTGAAAGCAAAGGCTTTTATTATAAAGGCTATCTTCTAAGTAAACAAGGATAAATGTTTTTTAAACTCTAAACAATTAAAGTATAGAAGCCCAACTTGAGAAAATTCTCCAACTCTGCCAGACAAAGTTTCCCATTTTGAATACTGGAAAATTATTTAAGACAAAGACTCAAAGAGGAACAAATATAATCAAAGAAAAAGGGAGTTAAGAGATGAAAAATAGATCTGTCTCATACAAGAATAAAATTCAAAATCAAGGCCATTAAAAGATAACTCATTCCAAGCCCTAAGAAGTGAAATGATTTCATACTATCCTATCCATTGTAAAATATTTTCTAATAAATTTGTAACTGATTTGGGATGAGAAAGGAAAGTGAGAGAATGTCAGAAGAAAACACATAAAGGCAGAAAACCAGTTAGCAGAAGGAAAATTGGATATAAAATATTGATTTAAATCAACAGGTATACATGTTGGAGCTGTATATAAAGTACAATCTTCTATACAGTTTGTATTAATTATCCGGTTAAGACAATCACTCAATTTCATTATACTTTACACCTTTAACTTATTTTCAATCCCAAGTACTTGCACTTTTCTGATAAGCAATTCCATTTTATATGCACATGAAAGAAAAGGTAACCAACTCCAGTCTATTAATTTTGCTATATGAATCAACAAAAAGCTAGAAATTTTAAACTACTGTTAAAACAAGGAGACTTAAAAACAGATTCCATTTAAGACACTCAAAGTCCACAAAACCACAGAAAATTGAGGATGTAATTTTTTCTAGTACTATTTCAACTAGGACTTTAACATCAGCAACAAGCATGGATTAAAAAAATTCTTGGCCCTCCCTCCCTGATGGCACAGCGGGTTAAAGCACAGCACTGAGAAGCTAAAGCCACTTTAGCATGAGTTCGATTCCCGCCTGCCCCGGAGGAGTCCACATGGCATGGCAGACCTCTCCTGACCCGCCCGCTGCTCCCCTCAGCAGTGTACTTCGTGGATCTGCCTGTTCTGCTCCCCACTCTGTCTGTGGTGAAGCCTCTTGCCACCCCTGCACCTCTGGCCTGTTCCCCAGTTCTGTATGCATAAATAAATAAATCTTTTTAAAAAATTCTTAGTAACGAGATAAGAAAAAATCACAAAATTTTAATTCTGAACAACCTGTATTTTTGTAACAATTACATAAGGCTTTTTATGTGGGGGAGGAACTTTTAAATTCATATTCTCTCCTAGTTTAGAGAAAAATACCAATTATTCTCTATAAGGTAAAGAAACTGATTTACAAAATTTCCCATGGTAAGATTTTGTCTTCCTAGACATATAAATGCAAACAATCTAAAAATGACCATAATGTGTCTAAAGAATAAAACCACCAATTTAAAAATTCTTAATTGACATTTTAACATTATCAGTAAAGTGTAAAATTACTTATAGTAAGCCCACCTCACAAACAGATTTTTCTGTTCTACCACATCTAACCAAGCCCCTCATTAAGAACTGCTTCCATTAGTCTGAACCCATTGCCTGGCTAAAATGGAAAATTAGCAAGTACTGTTGACCAGGGCCGTAAGAATAACAAAATTTAACAGCAATAAGAGGGCTCAGGAAGAAACATCTGCTCTACTATTATCTGTCACAAAAACTTTTGAGAACCTTATAAAAGTTTTGCCCCAGAAAAACAGGCCAAGGCAAATATTCACACAATTTTTTCATTCATTTTTTTTGTGGAGGAAGGGCATAAGAGAGGGTGATTAGACTGATGGGAAGCTTCTTGAAGCCTATAGTTAAAAGGACATGATGAAGTGTACCTTCACAGATTCTCAAAAACAAAAGAAAAAAGAGTGCAAGTAACTTAGTGAAAGTATACCACATAATCCCAAATCCCAGGGTGATAGTACCCCTGACAGCTACTTTTAACATAATAAATGAGTGATTCTACTTTTAGGGTAAAGAGAAGAACAGGATGTTAGACATTCTGCAACACCATGGCTGACCCACAATGAAGACCCTCTCCAATTAAATTTTTGAATACCCTCCAGAAATGCATATTAATGAAACATTTCTTTTCCATAGATGCACCTATTGTGAAAAACGGGGGGGGGGGGGGGAATGTTCCTTCAAAGTTTTAAAAGCCGCATTTACTATTACAAAAAAATTATTCTATCAACAGCAATGCCACCTATCATGCCTTTATTACAACATATCTGTGCCAGTCGTCAGACATCTGTAAGTGACACCTACATGACTAGCAAAAAGATGTATTTGGTCACATTTATATAGTTAGTACTTTAAACCTAGTTAGTACTTTAAAACTTCAGGTAGAACTGTGAGTCAATTTTACTTTCAAGGGCTTGTTTCCTTGTCTATTGTGCAAAGGATTTATTCCCACTTTGTAAGTCTTCCCAATTTTAGTTTACACCTAAACAAGCCTCTAATTTGAGGATTATGGGATATTTCTCTGCTTTTGAAATTTTCTTTTGTTATTTTTTATCTTAAAACAAAGAGGTGAACAGAACTAAGGCAAGAACTGAACCACAATTAAGCTACTAAGTAAAATGCAGTAATGTTCTGTGAATATGTCTCATCCATATTCAAGAGGAAACACCAGTTTGCATGATATTTTAGGGTCAAGTGCACACTTCTGAAATGTATCCCTTAAACATATGTATGTCCTGGGTGGCATTTGCCTGCCTGGAGTTCTTTGTGGAATTTTTTTGTTGCTATTATATTTTTTCTTCAAACTGAGGCTTTTTTCCCCTCCCATGACCATGTTACGTACCCTTTCCCCTTCTTCCATCTTTACAATTAGTGTCCTCACAATTAGTGTCCGAGAGTTTCTTTTTTTAAGATTTATTTTATGTATACAGAACTGGGGTACAGGCCTGAGATGCGGGGGGTTAGGGGGGTGGGAGGATGCACCAGAGACAGAGTGAGGGAACAGAACAAGCAGATGTACTGAAATACACTGCTGAGGGGAGCAGTGGGCAGATCAGGAGAATTCTGCCAGGCCATGTGGGTCGCCTCCCTGGCCAGGAATCTAACTCCTGCTGCAGAGGCTACCATAGCTTCACATTGCTGTGCTTTAACTAGTTGGGCCCCAGTATCTGATAATTTTTAAGTATTTTGTTTTTTCAAATTATCTGCTATGTAATGTCCAATATTTGTCTTTGCTTTCCTCCAACTAATTTCTTCAAACTCCTTCCATTTTGCTCTAGGTGGCAACATTTTCTGTTTCCTTATGGCTTAACAGCCTTCCATAGCATGGACCCACTTCTTTATCCAATCCTCGATTACTGGGCATTTAAGATTGTTTCCAAGTTCTGGCTATTGTAAATAGTGCTACAGTTAACATTGCAGAGTATATAGTTTTTTGAATTGAAGGTATCGCATTCTTTAAATAGAGGTTCAAGAGTGGAACTGGTCGTACAGTGTTTCTGTTTTTAGTTCTTTAAGCTAAATCTAGATCACAGTCCATAATGACTGCACCAGTTTACAGTCCTACCAACAGTTAATAAATAGAATTCCTCTCTCCACGTCCTCTCCAGCAGTTGTTGGGGGTCTTTTCAATGTGTG